ACAGTACATCAAATCATCCATAGGTAACTTTTTAAAAGCCTTTACAGGTTACCAGTTTAGAGTTGTACAGGAGGTCTGGTGCTAGAACTATTGCTCTCACTCTGACATTTACGGTGATACCTGATATGTTTGGTGCAATCTCGGTTTACATTAGCATGACCTATGTGTGTGTTTGCATTTGCACGTGAGCACGAGGAGAGAAGGGTGCTTGAAATTTTCTTTTTTAAATATATATATATATATATATATATATATATATATATATATATCTCCTCTGCCCTCCATAGCATTTGATCAAACTGAGATCAGTTTGATCAGATGGTTTGCAAGCCAGTAATGTTTTTTTCAACAAACAAACCAAAACTGACAATACTTGTCACTTCCTGTTTTTGATGTCACAGCAAAGAGGCGGGAACTTCTATTTCTGCCACTCTTTTCCTTGAATGCAATCAAACTGGTTTCATTGTTACTGGGCTCCCTGGTGTGACGGAAGACCTCGGTAAAGGCAGGGACCCCCTTCTGCTGCCTGTAAATGTGATCCAGTGGCTGTATAGCCACGCAGATCACATTTACATAAAACAGAATCGCCTCCTGAAAAAATGGTACTGGGATTATGGCCTCAACAATAATGCTGGCATAACCTCCTCAACATGAGGCAGTATACAGTTGTGCTCAAAAGTTTGCATACCCTGGCAGAAATTGTGAAATTTTGGCATTGATATTGAAAATATGACTGATCATGCCAAAAAATGCTCTTTTATTGAAGGATGATGATCATATGAAGCCATTTATTATCATATAGTTGTTTGGCTCCTTTTTAAATCATAATGATAACAGAAATCATCCAAATGGCCATCATCAAAAGTTTACATACCCTGGAATGCTTGGCCTTGGTACAGACACACAAGGTGACACACACGGGTTTAAATGCCAATTAGAGGTTAATGTCCCACATCTGTGGCTTTTTAAATTGCAATTAGTGTCAGTGTATACATAGTCAGTGAGAATAACTCAGCAGTTGAAATGTAGTTCCCTATGTGAAGGATTTTTGGTGTGGAAGAATTCATGTAAATGTACATTATGCTCCAGAATTCACTCTACATGGTACATCTAGGTGAGTTGTGTTTGGTGTTTTGGCGCACATGAAAAGGGCTTAAAGTGTATCCAAACCTCAAAACAAATTTTTTTATATATTGCAGCTATTACTTATGAATTGGCCAATTTTTTTTTTTCAGGTATTTTCCTTTATTTTCACCTGGTTATATGGCCAGACTTCCTGTCTTAGGGTGGCTCCAGTCTATGGAGAAGCAACAGAGACAACTTTGGACAGCATCCTTGTCAATTTGGGGAAAGAGGAATGTTAGCCCAGCAGATTTAGATGGATTTACAACAAACTAACAAATCAAAGCTGAACTCCAGACAGCTAGTCAGATTGAAAATAACTCTTGAAATGACATTAACATGGTTAATGTTATATGAGACTTTAGTAATTGGGTTTACATTTACTTTAATGTTAGATCCAATGTCCACATGAATTTATATTTGAATGCTATAATATATTGTTTTAAAGTTTTTTATTCAATATCTTGAGTTTGTGAGTCAATGAGAACAAGCACGCAACAAAAAAAACAAAAAAAGAACAAAACTCTGACATCAGAGAAATCGTTCTGGATTTACCATAAAAGCCTTAGGTACAATACATATTTTGCAACCAAAAACGCCTTGGATTCCTAAATTCTATAGCTAATGGATTTCAGATGTCTGGTGTGCCGCTGGATTTTCATTTTTTTTTTTTGCAGAGCAATTTTACTGACAGAACTGCCTGGGAAAGATTTTGGAGTATTTAAGCAACACAGTTAGTGTGGAATGTTAAGCACTTAAAATATATATAGAGTTATATACAGTATATGGGAAAAACAAATGTCTAGTACTTTTCAAAACTTTTGATAATTGCAAAACATTTTTTTATATATGCCTATAGCTATAGAGCACGCCAGCAGTATTTTTTGTGTCTGCAAAAACTATGGCTAAAAATGTTTTATTATTATTGTTATCACATTTATAAAGATGAGAAGTGGCAGCTTCACAGGCATCTTTGCAGTCACACCCTATAACTAAGCATCAAATTAATATGTATGTCAAGGCAATAGAAAAAAAACACACAGTTACATAGTTAGTCTGGCTGAAAAAAGACAAAAGTCCAACCAGTTCAACCTTCAAAAAAAAAAAAAGAAAAAAAAGTTATAATCCTATACCCACAGTTGATCCAGAGGAAGGCAAAAAAAAACCCTCAGCAAAGCATGATCCAATTTGCTCCTGCAGGGAAAAAAGTTCGGATATTCCCTGGATCAACTTTACCTATAAATAAACACATTCATCTGCATCATGCAGTACACCTTTGCAATGCATTAATATTTCCCAAGCTTTATGCCTTTAAAGACTCTGAAGTACAAATAAATATGTTTTGATCCGCCAAAACTGCACTGTTTTCGGTCCTGTCGTGGGCTGACAACACACAGGTTTGTGTAGACTGAGTGGTGTCAGCCCTGCTAGGTTGCATTTTGTAAACTTCTCAAACCCTCGTACTCTATGTTCTCTAGTCCAGGATAACAACTAGGAGGGCAATTAGGCTCTGTGAGAAAACATAGGAAGTGTGCACAGGACACAGAACAACTGTGTATTTCTGACAAAATCAACAGCTATTTTTTGCAGGTGTCATATTATATACTAATCAGACCAATGGTTTACACACACACGTTAACAAGGGTCTATGCAGCAACTGCCTAATCCTTCAAGTCATTATATTATTGTGTCACAATATACTTATCTAAAGCCAACTGCAGGACTTTTTTTCTATTCCTCAGATGTGAGCAGTTGCAAATACTTTGTATATGGCTGACTGTCTCTTGCACCTCCAACTTTCTGAGATGGTTAGGAGGGACACCTTGAGGACCATTCTGTATTGACTAATTAGTACTGAGAAAATACGGAAGCTTCCTTTGTTAATGCTGCATTTTGCTAATGCTTGTTCCTTGGATGTCAAGCTGATCCAATGGTTGCCAACTTTCTGAGGCACAGACATTGAACAAGTATGCAGATTGGTTGTTATGACTTTAACTGTGGGTGCTGAGGCACTATGAGTACTTAGGGTGCACTGTGAGCATTGAGGAGGCACTGTGAGTACTGAGGAGCCATGTCAGTTCTGAGAGGGTGCTGTGAGTGCTAAGTCAGCACGTTGAGTGCTAAGTGGAAGCAGTGAGTGCTGAGTGGGCACTGTGAGCATTGAAGAGGAGCTGTGAGAGAAGCAAGTGTTGGCTGTGACAGAGGGGTAGAGTATCAAAGGACACTATTGGTGTGAAATTCTCAAACATTTAGGACAAATAGTGCTAAAATTGGACTTAAATAAAATAAAAGCCTTTTAAAATTATAAAAAAACATATGAACATCCTCAATACTTTAGTGGGAAATGAGTCCTACAGGAGTAGTGATGCGCCCAGTGCACATCTGCTCCATGTATATGTTCTTTCAACATCTGTTTGAGGGTACATACTGCAGTGTGAGATGTAAGCAAATTGTTTTTTTGGAAGCCTACATCCTGGATCTACAGAATTATCTGGAAACACTGTGAAGAATCAGCAACCTGGATAGGAGTGCGGATCCTAACTGTGAGGAGGGTGTTGATATGGAGGTGCAGGTGCCAGAACTAGGTAGTTGGGTTACAGTTAGAAGGCGGGGTAGGGGGAAAGTGTTAAAGAAACTAGTCCTGAGTTGATACAATCCAACATGCCACGTTGGGTGATGTTCGGGATAGTTTAGGAGTGGCATTGCTGAAGCAGACTACCTCCCCTAGCTGCCAGGGAAATGACTACTCCAGTAAGGATGGGGGCAAAATTACAAGCAAGGATAGACAGATACTGGTGGTAGGGGACTGGTTATTAAAAGGACAGATAGGCCATTTAGTCACAAAGACTGTGATCACCAAACAGTATGTAGGTTTGCCTGGTGCTCGGGTTTGGCAGTGTTGCGTGGTACAATTGACAAAGTCAGAGAAAGATGGAGCATCCTTAAAAATGATTTCACGAACGTAGGTGCTATACTACAGGAAAGGACCTCCAGGGTGGTATTCTCAAAAATATTGCCTGTACCCTGAGCCACACAACGGAGGCAGCATGATCTTAGAAAGGTTAACAAGTGGCTCAGGAACTAGTGCAAGGAGACTTCTAGGCTCATGGAGAATTGGGTTTACTTTGAGATCGTTTACTAACTCTATAGCAGAGACAGCCTCTATCTAAATGGGAAGGGTGCAGCTCTCTTGGGTGAGAAGATAGCTATAAGGTTGCTGGAACTTTTAAACTAGGATGTGGTAAGGAGGGATCAGAGAAAGGTATACCATGAAGTGAACAAGGGTCAGAGTATAAAGATGGGAGCAAAATCAGGGGAGAAAGGGGGCCTCAAACTAGATGATAGAAAAACTAACGTTTCCACGTCTAGCAGGCATGCTTAACTTGAAGGGAAACAAAAAGGTATGCAAGGATTATATGTGCACATGTATAAAATTGAATGGGGTATATTAACTATCCTGATATTGATTGGGCAGATGAAACTGCACATTCAGCAAAGGGTTGTCATTTTTTGAATGTAATGCAGGACAATTTCTTGAGTCAAATACTGGAAGCCACAACTAATAATAATTATCTGCTGAACCTACTACTTACAAACAATACAGAGCTGACTGCAGATGTGGAAGTAAGGGATAATTTGGGTAACAGTGATCACAGGGTAATTACATTTGCCATAAATTATAGGAAAAGGACACATGAGGGTAGAACAAGAACACTACATTTTAAAAGACACAACTTTAACTGCCTCCCACCTGCAATATAAGGAAATAAAGGGAGCAATGCGGTTCTTTCATTCTGGGAGGACATCATATGACGTCCTCCCACTCTAACTGCGCGTGCGCTCCCACGCAGGCATGCAGCGTGGCGATCGGCAGTGCGCTGTGTCCCTGGGACACAGCAGATCACTGATCAATGTTTAGAGCTGAACTCGTCGGCTCTGTGATGTGATCAGCTGTGTCCAATCACAGCTGATCACATGTAAATAAGGAAATGCCGGTTGACGGCATTTCTCTCCTCACGAGCTGTCATGCTGACAGCTCGTGAGGAAGAGAGCCGGTAATTGGCTTTCCTCAGAGGGGACATGTACACTGATCATCAGGGCACTGATGATCAGTATGCCCTGATGATCAGTGTAGCCCCAGCAGTGCCACCTGTCAGTGCCCATCAATGCCACCTGCCAGTGCCACATCAATGCCACATATCAGTGCCTACCAGTGCACATCAATGCCACATAGTGCCCATCGTAGCTACCTTTTAGTGCCACCTATCAGTGCTGCCCAGTCAGTGCTGCCAATCAGTGCCACCTTTCAGTGCCAGTCAGTGCCGCCTATCAGTGACAGTCAGCTCCGTCTATCAGTGCACATCAGTGCTGCCTATCGGTGCCACCTAACAGTGCCAGTCAGCGCCGCCTATCAGTGTCACCTATCAGTGCCACCTATCAGTTCCATATATGAGTGCTGCCTTTCAGTGCCCATCAGTGATGCCTGTCAATGCCCATCATGCCCCTATCAGTGCCTATCCAGCCTACCAGTGCCATCACTCATCATTAGTGCCACCTATCAGTTTCAAAATTTTTTTTTCAGTTGTTTTTGGTTTGTTTAGCAAAAAATAAAAAACCCAGTGGTGGTTAAATACCACCAAAAGAAAGCTCTATCTGTCTCAAAAAAAATGATAAAAATTTCATATGAGTACAGTATTGCATGATTGCGCGCAATTGTCATTCAAAGTGCGACAGCACTGAAAGCTGAAAATTGGCCTGGGCAGGAAGGGGGTATAAGTGCCCTGTAGGCAAGTGGTAATAAGCTATGCTCTGTACTACATGACACTAAATGGGATCACATTTTTTCAACAGAGAACACTGAAGAGAACTGGAAGCAATTTAAAGGTATTCGTCAGTGCATTCCACAGGCAACAAATATAAAACAACAAAAGTTAAACCTGGGTGGATAAAGACTAATGTAAAAAGGCATATTAATGTGATAAAACCGTCCTTAAATTAATAATATAAATAGAAGAGTCATCATCATCATCATCATTCTAAAACTACAAAGAGTGCAATAAGAAAGTGTGATCAGCTAAAATAGATTACAAAAGACACATTGCTGAGGAGAGTATAACAATCCCCAATTTTCTTCATATATATTAATTGTAAAAAAAAAAATAGGTCAGACCATATTGGCCGCATACAGATGATCAGGGGAAGTTGGTCACAGGGAGAAGGCAACTGTTATAAATACATTCTTCTCTTCAGTTTATAAGAATAAAAAGGAGGGGTATAATAAACAAGACATTAATGTTAACAACATAAGATTGTGGCTGACAGAGACCAGTGTTAAAAAAAAGACTAGAAAAACGTAATTTGATCAAATCACCAAGACCGGATGACTTGCACTCAAGAGCTCTCAAAGAAGTTAGCCATGTTATGGCCAGACCATAGTTACTAATTTGTAAGGATAGCTTACTGACTGTAATAATACCAGCAGATTGGTGAAAAGCAAATGTAGTGCAATATTCAAAAAAGTGCCAAGATATATACCTGAAAACTATAGATGAGCCAGGCTAATATCAGTAGTATGTAAACTATTGGTGGGAATGATAAAGGACAATATAAAAGAATTTGCTGATGAAAATAGTACTATTAATGGTAACTAACATGGATTTATGAAGAACTGTTTTTGCTAGACCAACCCTTTAATCTTCTGAGGCGGTGAGCTGTACATTAGATACAGGAAGATATGGATATAGTGTATGTAGATTTCACTACAGTATAGGTCTTTTAGCACTGATGGCATGGTATGTACCTCGATAGAAAACTGGTTGCAGGAGTGTGTCCAGATGGTGATGATTACAAGGCCCAATAAAGTCCTTATTTTACAAAATAGAATAGTGTAAAGCCAAATTGCTATATACTCACTGTAGTACCTGCTGCAAAGACATTTAACTCATGGAGCAAAGAAGGCACATTTTCTTGGCCTTCCACCCCAGAGAGATAACTGCAGCAGTGCTAGCATTCTCTCTCTAGTGGTCAGTGCTGAAGACGTTCTCTTTTTCACTTTTCAACAAAGCAAGACATTATCTCTGCTGCTGATATTTCTTTATTCTTCCTCCTCTCTTTTTCACAATGACAAGAGCATGTAGAGCGCTTAGCTTGTTGTATGACTGCAGGCAGTCAAAAATAAGAGCTAGGTTGCATTGCGATATGCTGAAATCACTGGTGGTCTCCGTGAGATGTGGTGCATAGCCGATACTTGCATTGTTCACTTAGCAGCCGGCTTGAAGCAGGATTGTATGGTGGTTTGGTGACCTCAGGTCAGTCAATGATGGTGACTGCTGAGGTTCCTCCGATGCACCTGCTGCCTCATTTGGGCCACTGTGTCTCATACGCCCCAGGTGGGGGATGTGACTTTCCTAGGGACTGAACCTGGAACTATGGGTATAGCGGAGGACTCCCATTTGAAGTGTAACAAGTGAATCCTGCCCTGGCCAAGCAAAGATAGAGATGGAACCTGAGTGTGTGGTAAAACCTGAGGGGAATAACTGGGGCTTTGTCCCACTTTCCCCACAAAGCTTTCTTGGATGTCCGTCCTGCAACTGGCTTAACAACCTGGACACCAGAGGTTCTCTGGCAAGCCTGCGGGCTGAATGAAAGAAATCTAACCTAAACAGCACAGATAGACAAATCACCAGTTGCTGACTACCAAATAGAAAAATCCCAAGGGGAGGACACTGGCCTATTACTGTGTGTAAGGATGAACAAATTAAAAAGTATTTATTTATAAACTTTATTCACATAAGATTAGTAGATTAAAAAACATGTATGCACCACATACAATAAAAAACCCTTATTCAACATAGTGGACTCCCCTATAACTTGTCAGTGTCACATATACAGTAATATGGGATGTGTGTAGGGGGTCCCCATCACAACAAATAAGAAGAACGACAGTCCACCATGGTTTCATTGCACATAACATGTAACATTCAACAGTGCAGGGAGGAAAAAGTATGTGAACCTTTGGAACTTAATAACCTGGTTGACCCTCCTTTGGCAGCAATAACCTCAACCAAGACGTCCTGTAGTTGCAGTTACTGCCTCAACGCTTTTTGTGGGATTGTCAGGAGAACTTCAGGGGGAAGTGATCTAGGATGATCAAAATACATTGTTTAGCATTTTATTTCCCAGGTAAAAAAATGCACTTATTTGCACAATATTAATAATATACTGCCTATTGTTTCACAAACATGTGATCCTAGCAGTCATTTTCTTGCACACACAACATGGCACTGATGAAAAGTGTCCAAATATTCATACAGCTATTTCTCGTATGCACCGTACATGTGTGTGTGTAAATGTCTGCTTCTTATTGTTCTAGGGTCTTGAATTAATGCTGCACATTGTGGCTGTCAATGGTTTGTTTTTTTGACACTATACATAACATTACAAATAAAGGAAAGCACATAAGGCTAGTACCGAAAAATGAATTTAATAGTAACGGGTCATATTCTCAGACAAAATTTTCATTTGAGGTCTCATGCACACTGGATGTTTTGACACTGCTGTTAGGGGTGTCTGGCTCTAAACACCCCTGAATATGCGTCCATGCACATAGATATTTAATATTTAAAAGTGCTGCGCAAACTGTTGGTGCTATAAAATCCTGTAAAATAATAATAATGATAATGCAGGGGTGTTTAGAGGCAGAAGAAAAACCCAAAGCCAGCATGATCACCAGCAAAAAAAATGAAGGAAGCATGTAAACACATCCAAAGGAATCTAAACACACATTAATGCTAGGTGCATCAAGTTCTTGAGCATCAATTAATTTCAATGGCTAGAATAAAATTTTTGTTTTCACCAATTAAATCAATTGACGCCCAAGTGCTTGACCTGCCTAAACGTGCCTAGATGCATTTACACGTATTTACAAGTGTCAAGCGTTTTTTTTGTCAAAACTCTGGTGCCAGGAGGATAGGTGTCCAGGAGAGATGGTCAAATGCCCTGTGTGCATGAGGACTTAAACAGTAAACCATACAACTAGGAGACAACAGGAATGTCAGATATCTGTTTGCCGGGTCTAAAAAAGTTTTAATAGGTTGTTTTCCTGTTTGCACATTGGAACACACAAAGCTTTATTTGTGCAAGTTGTGTACTGCCTCCAACACATACAGGTAACACATACTGGCAACACATACTGCCTGTTGATATAAAAATCCTTTGGCACTCTTACATCAAACAATGTCTTTAGTCCAAAAAAGTCAACAAGAGAAAAATCAACAGGGTTGCTTTAATGTCCCAGCCCTCCCACACATATAATTACATTTACTTTGCTGCTCTGCCACTCTGTTCAATGCTGCTGAGAGGGCTTATTTATGGTGAACTGATTGCTTTGCTCTGCATGCACAAAAGACAGGTTTGCTTTTAAAGAATACAGTAGGTCTATTCATATTTGTGAATGACGGCAACTGTAACCCCAACACAAAATGTGAATGTCCTTTTTTTTTCCTTTCATGAAGCACACTCTAATGTATAACCATGCTTTGTGTTACCACAGGTGGGTTATCAAATAAAAGTACTATCCTACTATCATAAAAAGATGCATAATATGCACCCAATGTCAATCAAATTGATTTCCTCTCTCCAGTCTTTAATCGCTTGTTTCGCGTGAAGCATAAGCTCCTGATGGGAGGAGGGGACTATAATTTACCCTTTTCGATGGTGGCAGATAGACATGCTTTGGGTACTCGAACTCCACAACCTCGCATTTCTAAAAGCTCTCAACTTTTTCAACAACTTACCAGAAGACGTGCTTTATGCGACGTTTGCCATGTATTACATCCTTTAGAAAGACAGACAATTTATGCGTTACTCCCACCCACATTTACTTCATTCACGTCTTGACTATTTCTTTCTGAAAAAAAACATTGATTCTTTCCCTCTATGTTACTAAATTGAAAACCTGCCATTGACACCTTAACCACTTTTTGCTCAAACATTTACCCTCTAGAGTGGAATTAAAATCAACCTTATGGACTTATTTTGAGAATCTTAGCCAAGATGTTTCACTTAGTACTGTCTGGGAATCACATAAACAGTTTTTTCGGGCCAATACATTGCTCTATCATCTACTTTATAGAAAAATGCTAATACAATTTAAAACTGAGACAGAGCAGAAAATACAGGCCCTTGAAGTGAACCTCCATACATCCCCGTCAGTGCGCACTCTCCGAGAATTGGTAGATCTCTGTGCCACCCTTAAAGAACTTGCCTTGGGAGAAGATGAGAATACACTTGCTTGATTA